CACGCTAGGGGCTGGCGGGGTGCGCGAGGGGCCGGCGAGCACGCTAGGGGCCGGCGGGGTGCATGAGGGGCCGGTGGGGCGCTAGGGGCCAGCGCGGCGCTAGGGGCCGGCGGGCCGCGGGAAGGCTACGGTACGACGGGGCGGTAGGCTAGGGCGAGGGGCGGAAGCGGGTGGGCAGACGTAACCTACTATGATACCATGTTAGACTAGGAGAATGAATAGAAAGAAGAGAGTACAGGGGAGATATAGGGTTGGAGTTGTACCCTCTAAGAACACACACCTACTGGAGCGGACGGCAGACGTGCCTGACGTTCTCATCCCGTGGCTTGTCTCTGCGCGTGTCCACCGCGGTCTCCCTGTCTTGCGTCTCCACTCCGACCGTGGTGGCGAGTTTGCCTCTGGTGTCCTTGGTCGTTTCTGTCGTGCGGAGGGCATCACCCAGACGTTCACCCTGCCGGACTCCCCATAGCAGAATGGGGTCGCTGAGCGACGCATCGGCTTGGTCATGGAGGTGGCCCGTACCTCCATGATCCATGCCGGTGCAACCCATTTTCTGTGGCCGTTCGCTGTTCGCTACGCCGCTCACCAGCTTAACTTGTGGCCGCACCCCCAGCAGCCGCAGGTTTCGCCGACCCTTCTTTTGTCCGGGTCTCCTGGTGACGCCTCTGCGTTTTACGTCTGGGGCTGCCTTGCTCACGTCTGTGCCTCTGGCACGGACAAGCTCACTGCCCGCACCCTCCCTTGTGTCTTCCTCGATTTCCCCCTTGACGCGTCCGACTGGCACTTCTACCACCCGCCGTCTCACCGGTTCTTTCACTCCCGTGACGTCACCTTTGACGAGTCCGTCTCCTTCTACTGCCGCTTCCCCCACAAAGGTCCCCCGGTTCCTCCCCCCCTATTCTTGGTTACCCCTTCCCCGGTCGCCCCTGCCCCCCCCCCTCCCCCTCCCCGTCCTGCACCGTCTGGTGTGTCTCACATCACTCCCCTCCCGTCGGTTGTCCCGGTCGAGGAGTCTGCTGACTCTGGTGGCCCTGCGGCGCAGTCCTCACCGCCTGTCCCTCCCCAGGTGTCTCCTCCTCCGCCACCTCCGTAGCCGCCATCGCCGCCGCTGTCGCAGCCGCCGTCACCGCCGTCGCCGCCACCGTAGCCATCGCCGCAGCCGACGCAACAGCAGTTCGTTGACTCTGGGGGTGCTGGCGCTGGGGTGGGTACTAGTCCTGGGGTTCCTATCATGGCTTGTCCCGGTGGGCCTGGGGGTGGTACCATTGTTCGCGGGGTTTCGGGCCCTGGGGGTGTTCCTTCTGGGGGTGCTGGAGTGGAGTGTTCCGGAGGTAGCCGTGGAGCAGCTTGCCGTCCCGGTGTCGGTGTCGTGCCGCCGCTGCAGCAGTCACCGCCGGTGTCAGCCCTTTGCCTGCTCGGCCTCTCGTCCCCTGACCACATGTCTATGCCTCCCATGCCGTCTCCTCCCCTTCCTATCTACGGCCCTGTGTTCCCTCCTTCGGACTCGACTCCGGCTCGTCTTCCTCCTCGTTCCCCTCCTGTGTCCCCTCCTCTGTCTCCTGACCCGACGCCTCCGTCTCACGTCTGGTCTCGCCGTCCCTCCTGTGCTCGCCCCGTCTCCCCTGTTCCTGCGCTCTCACCCTATGTTGCTTCGTTCCCACGCGTCTTGTCCTACCCTCCTACCGTCGCCGCCTCCGTCCTCTCTTGTTGTTGCGCCTCCCCCTCTGTCTGACTACCTTCGCGCCGCTCGTCCCCTTGTTCCTCGGGTCCTTGCCTCCTTCGTTACCGACCCGTCTGTTCCGGTCTCGTGTCTCGACGCTCTTGTCGCTGCGGTCGCTGACTTCACCCGCCGCTTTGACTACGCCACCGCTCTGGTCTCTGACCCTGCCTGTCCTCCGTCTATCAGGGGTGCTCCTGCCCTCGGCAGTGACGTCCTGGAGGACTGCCAGTACGAGCTTGATTTCCTGTCCGAGGCTGCTCCCCATTTCTGTTCCATGCTGTTAGTCCCTGAGGGTGATCTCGACGCTTTCGACATCCCGACCCCTTGCACTTACGCTGAGGCGGTCTCGGGACATTGGGCCTCTCAGTGGGTAGCTGCCATGGAGCAGGAGATGGCATCTTGGAGATCCACCGGCACCTACGTCGACGCAGTTCCCCCATCTGGGGTGAACGTAGTCGATGGCCGCTAGCTCTTCAAGGTGAAGCGCCCTCCCGAAGAGCCGCATGTTCAAGGCGTGCTATGTGGCTAGAGGCTTTAGTCAGCGTGAGGGGGTGGACTTCTTTCAGACTTTCGCTCTGACCCCGAAGATGACTACTCTTCGGGCACTGCTACACGTAGCAGCACAGCGTGACTACGACTTCCACTCCCTCGAATTCTCCACTGCGTTTCTTCAGGGCAGTCTATACGAGCAGGTCTACCTGCGCCGCCCTTAGGGTTTCACTGGTACCTTCGCTCCTGGGACCCAGTGGCTTCTGCGGCGCCCAGTCTACGGCTTGCGTCAGGCTCTCCGCGAGTGGCACAATACGTTGCGTGCTACTCTTGCAGACCTGCAGTTCTTTCCGTCTTCCGCAGACCCCTCGCTCTTTGTTCATTCTGGCCAGACTCTGTTCTACATCCTTGTCTACGTAGACGATCTGGTCTTTGCCACTGCAGAAACCACCGAGCTGGCCTTTGTAAAGGCTGAGCTGCTGAGGAGACACACCTGCACTAGCCTAGGAGAGCTACGCCACTACCTGGGCCTGCAGATCTCCAGAGACAGAGCAGCGCACACCATCACTCTCACCCAGTCACACTTGGTGCGCCAGGTCCTTCAGAGGTTCGGTCTTCAGTTCTCCTCCGCACAGCCCACACCTCTTCCAGTAGATCACAGGCTCTCTGCTCCAGTTCTTGAGGAGCCAGCAGAGCCCAGTGGTCCTTACGCAGAGCCGGTGGGTTGCCTCATGTACCTGATGACTTGCACTCGTCAAGATCTCGCATACCCTCTCAGCATCCAGGCTCGCTTTGTGGCCACAGGCAGACACAGACCTCAGCACTTGTCTGCAGCTAAGAGGGTTTTGCGTTATCTCACGAGTACATCAGGCATGGGGTTAGTGGTGGGAGGACGTAGGCTGGTGGTCCTTACTGGGCACACAGACGCTTCTTGGGCAGACGACGCTGAGACCCTTAGGTCCTCTCAGGGCTACTGCTTTAGCCTTGGTTCAGGTATTGTCTCGTGGAGAACTACTTGCTCCTCGTCTGTTGCCCAGTCCAGCTGTAAGGCCGAGATCTACGCCGGTGCCATGGCGGCACAGGAGCTCCACTGGCTGACCTTCTTGCTTACTGACTTAGGTGAGCGGCCTAGCTCTGCGCCAGTCCTGTACGCTGACAACAGGGCCATGATCCGCGTGTGTCAGGAGCCTCGACTTGAGGGCAGAGCAAAGCACATCCAGCTGCGGTACTTCCTCCTGCGCGAGCTGCAGCAGCGTCGCCAGGCTCGCGTAGTGCACTTTACCTCCGGTGCCAACACAGCTGATATCTTTACGAAGGCCCTTGCTCCTAAGGATCATCAGCGGCACTGTGTACAGCTAGGCCTTGTTCCTGTTACCTCTCACCTATAAGGGCGAATTCCTATGAAGTAGGATCAGAATCAAGAATGCCAAATCCATTATTGATCCCGTTGCCTGGTTTATTACGCCATCATCTGAAACGAGGGCAGGCACCTCAGCGTCGCACAGGCGCATCTGATTGGCTGCCCCCACCAACACATTTCGGACAGCCAAAAACGAGAGCTAAGCCAACGCCGCATGACAAAAGCGCATTGACGGGCGACGAGCAACGAAACGGAACTGTACGCGACGGGCACAAAAACGCGACTTCTGCTAACTTCGAAACTGCATTCAACTGTTCAACTGCATACAAATTCACTTGCTCGTGATTGGAGCGCACGTTTCCAAGTCCCGTCCAGCTCATGACTAAGGGAACACTGTTAAAAGGCTAGCTTAGCTAGGAAGCTAGGAAAGGCATGAGGTTTAGCTAGGAGGAGCCATGAAGTGGCGTGAGGTTTAGGAAGGAGAAAAGTTGAGGAGAGAAAAAGGGGGTTGGAATAGAAAGAGAGAGGCATACAAGTAGGGGATTGTACCCTCTACGGTAAAGTTCGGTAACCTACCAAGCCTAACAATTATATAACTCAATATATAATTTTAACACACCCCCTAGGCTTGGTAGTCACAAGCCCACACACACCCCCACACCCCCTAACCTAGCACCCCCATTCCCATCAGCCACAACGACTCCAACAGGGCCCACAAGGCCTTGGAGATGGCGACGGCGGTAGTCCCGGCCACGGCGACAGCGACGGCGACGACGGGCGTGCGGCGGCAAAAGGCCTGCGGCGACGACAGCGGGGACGGCGACGGCGACGGCGACGGCGACGGCTTCGGCTCACGACGGCGGTGAGTGCAGCGGCCCCCGCCCTTCCTGCGGCGTGTCCAAACTCCGCGACAGGGGGACGACCGGCGAGAGTCAGGCGGCGGCTGTGGCGAAGAGGAGGGGACAGAGGAAAGGGGGAAGGGGCGGGGCTTCGGATCTTCAGTGCAGCGCCACAGGCATCGCGTGGCCGGCTGGCGTGCGGGTGGGCAGTTTAGCGGCGCCACAGGCGTCGCGCGGCCGGTTGCAGCCCGACGCCGCCGTCACAGAGCGGCGTCGACGCTATGACGGCAGCACGGCGGCCTGACGCCACGGCAGCGCGTCGAAACGGCAGCGGCACGACGCGGCCAGCGGCATCACGGCGCCGCCACTGCAGCACAACGCAGTCGCCATGGCCGCGAGAGCGAACGAGGGCAAGGAGTACGCGGCGGAAGCGTAAGGAGGCGGTCGAGCAAGGAGGAACTCCTGTTCTGATACCATGTTAAAAGGCTAGCTTAGCTAGGAAGCTAGGAAAGGCATGAGGTTTAGCTAGGAGGAGCCATGGAGTGGCATGAGGTCTAGGAAGGAGAAATTTTGAGGGGAGAAAAAGGGGGTTGGAATAGAAAGAGAGGTATACAAGGAAGGGATTGTACCTTCTACAGTAAAGTTCGGTAACCTAGCAAGCCTAACAATTATATAACTCAATATATAATTTTAACAAACACATCGTCTATTCTGGGTAGTCGCCACGATGTTTGGTTGGTTTGAGGGGTGTACACGTTGGATCTCACGAGGCATCCAGTCTCACTTGCGAAACTCACTTGCGACACTCACTCAAGATTGTTGATATGCTGGTTGTAAAACGGCAGGATCAGAAACATTCGTGATTCTGATCCTACTTTGTAGGAATTCGCCCTAAGTTGACATACGCTACTCCACAAGATGACTAAATAAGGCCTCATCTTTCTCAATCCCTCTCGCCTTCAAAAACATCCCCTTGTTGGTAACAATGTAATTGACTCCATCGTCTGCATCCTCCCCCACTTCCACGTAAAGCCCCTTGGCAGCATCCCACACATACATCGCACATTCCTTTTCATTCCAACCCTCAAAATGCTGCAGGCTCCTGCATCCAGGCAGCAGCCGAGCCATGAGACTCCTCCCCAATGCCAGCTCTGCATCGCAACTCTTGGCCGCAGCACCCCCGCCTTCCTCCACCAACCCTCGCGTTCCCACACTTGTCTCATCCCCCCTCCCCGCTGTGTCCTCCTCCGCACCATCTCCCCTTCCCACGCTCTCCCCATGGCCCACTCCCAGCAGCTCCTAAAAAACTCAAAGACGTCTTCACCCATGCTGTCCAGAAACAGGCCCTCCAACCCACCTGGCCAGATAACACCTGATTGAAGCAGAGACAGCGATACAGGGTCCCAGTCCACGGCATGGAAACAGCACACGCTTCGCCAGGTGCTCAGATCCAACGGCTGCGAGACTTCAATCCCCCACTCGAGGGATCTGACGGTGCCGATCACACCAGGCGGCAGATGGGCAGCATCCTCTGGCCGCATGTCGGTGTGGAGAGAGTCGAGCGAGGTGAGGTGCGGCGCGTGGAAGGCCCAGGGGCAGGAGGGATCGGCGCTAAGAAAGAGCGAATCCAGGTGGGACGGGCAGGTGGGCAGCAGGAGGAGGCGAGCGTTTTGGGTGTCCCAGGTAAAGACGAGGGAGGAGAGAAGAGGGGCGGACAAGGAAATAGAGCAGCTGCACCTGAGGAGTCCAACGCGAGTAGCAAGCGGGAAGTGAAGAGAGAAGGTCGTCTGCGCATCCGTACCCTCCTCACGCTCTCCCCCCTCTTCGTTCTCTGCCGTACTGCCTTCCCTGCCCTCTCTACCCTCCCTGCCCTCTCTACCCTCCCTGCCCTCCCTGCCCTCCCTGCCATCCCTACCCTCCCTACCCTCCCTGCCCTCCCTACCCTCCCTGTCCTCCTCGCCCTCGTGAGCTGCAAACTGACCCTCGAAGGCACCGATGTAGGAGGTGTGAAGATGGGGAGCGAGGCAGGAGACAAAGCGGAGGACGAGAGGCGAGCAGAGGGAGAGACAGAAATCAAGGTGGCGCAGGGCACCGAAAGGTTTCTCCTTACTCCCAGCCTCCTTACCTCCTGCCTCCTTCTCCTCCATGATTGAGATGAGCTCCCACATACCTGCCACCATCACGGGGTCGTTGCAGCCGTACCTTACACTTCCATCTTCGCTCTCTTCTCCGTGCCGCAGACGGAGCGACTCGAGGCGAGGGGCTTGCGAGAGGGAGAAGAGGAGGCGTGGAGGGGCAGGGAGGCGTCGCGAGAAGAAGAGGTTGAGGGTAGTGAGGGAGGAGAGGGAGGGGAGCAGCAGGGATCGCATGAGAGAGCAAAAGAGCGGCGGAGGTGTGACACGGATACAGAGGGAAAGCTCAGAGAGGTGAGGGGTTTGCTTGGCAAGCCACCCGAAGCTGCGGATGCGGTGAGAGAGGGAGACGGAGGAGGGGGGGCAGCGGCAGGAGTCTTCATACACGAGATTCGAGACTCCGGCGAGCGTGTGGCGGACGCACGGCAGGGCGATGGCACATGGCACGAGCGGCCAGGAGCAGCAGTCACTGTCGTCCTCCATCTCGCTTGCGATGCGCAGCCACACGTCTGCTGGAAGGGCGCTCGGGTCTCCATAATCCATGGAGCCAACGGACTGTTGCTCCTCTGCCGATCCCTCTCCCCGCTTCAGCCGCTTTGCACGCCACGGAATGATAGCTGATGGCCCCGGCTCCTCCTCTTCTCCCTCCACCACCTCGCCCTCCTCCCTTTCGTCCGCTTCCTCCTCTCCCTCCTCCCTTTCATCCGCTTCCTCCTCTGCCTCCTTCTCCCTTTCATCCACCTCTCCCTCCTCCCTTTCATCTTCTTCCTCCTCTGCCTCCTTCTCCCTTTCATCCACCTCTCCCTCCTCCCTTTCATCTTCTTCCTCCTCTGCCTCCTTCTCCCTTTCATCCACCTCTCCCTCCTCCCTTTCATCCTCTTCCTCCTCTGCCTCCTTCTCCCTTTCATCCACCTCTCCTTCCTCCCTTTCATCCTCTTCCTCCTCTCCCTCCTCCCTTTCTTCCTCTTCTCGCTCCTCCGTTTCTTCCCTTCCCTCCTCTCCTTCCTCCCCCCCTTCCTCCCCCCTTTCCTCCTCTCCTTCCTCCTCTCCTTCCTCCTCCTCTTCCTCATCCACCTCCTTCCCTTCTCTCGCTTGCTCAAGAACATCCCTCACCTCCATCCTGCTCCCCACACACTCTCCACTCCCCACACACGCACTGCTGCCCACACCCTCTCCCCTCCTCTAACACCCTCACTGCTGTCCGCACGCTCTCCCCTCCCCACACCCTCACTGCAGCCAGCACTGTGCACCAGCGAAACCCAGCAAGGTCGGTCGATCCCCTAATCGCCGGCCCGGCTGCGAGTCGCCGGAGTTTTAGACGCGCTGAGCGGCGGGCGCCATGCGAAACAAGGTCCGACCAAGATCGAGAGGCGGAACGAGGTCGAGCGAGCCGATCTTTGAAAGGAGGGACGAGAGACAGCACGGGGACTCCCGAGCGAGAGGCGGAACGATGGCCGCGATCGAGGAACGGGAAGGCTCGTCACTGAAACTTCTTCATAGAACTCGCCGGCAGATGCTTGTGCGAGAGGTGCGCGCGTCAGCAAGTCCTAATGCACGGGGGAATCCACGACGTGCGGGCAGAGGCAGTTGATGCACCGGAGACGAGGTGACTTTTGAGTCGACTCAAAGGCACAGCAAGTCCTAATGCACGGCGGAATGGCGGAATCCATGACGCGCGGGCACTGGCTTTTGAGTCGACTCGAGAGGTGCGCGCGACAGCAAGTCGTCATGCACGGCGGAATCCATGACGCGCGGGCAGCTGATGCCCGCACTGATGTGCGCCAGGTGCGCGCGTCAGCAGCTGATGCACTAGAGGCGTGTTCCTGGGAGAGACTTGAGAGGAAGGGACCGAAAATGGCTGGAAAACGGTTCCCGCGAGCCGAAATGTGCGAATTCCAGTGGAGCGGAGACGGATTCAGTGAAGCGGTGACGGATTCAGTGGAGCGGAGACGGATTCAGTGAAGCGGAGACGGATTCGGTGAAGCGGGAGGCGAGAGGATTTCTAGTGAAACGTAACCGTGCGGATCCTAGCCCAAGGTCCTGATGAAGCAGCATCTGGATTTATGTTTTGACGACTGGTCGGCCGAGTAGTAGCTGTGGGTGAGGTGACACGTCACACAGCGACGCAGGTGACGGGTAACATGACGCGCTTGGGAGGAGCATGCAGAAAAATAAGGGACCTGTAACGAGCGGGGGGGGGTGCAACGAGGGGCGCCTGTAACGAGGGACGCCTGTACGAGGGGCGCCTGTGACGAGGGTTCCTGTATGAGAGGGGCCTGTGACTGCTCAAGCTGGCCAGGACCGGTTTCGCCATGCAGCGTCCCTCGACAGCTGCTCGGCTGCACTACGCCTACTAGGTCCTGAGGGACCTAGCCCAAGGCATGATCCAGATGCGAACCAGATTTGCTGCACTGTAAGGCTTGAAGGGAGGGGGGAGCGAAAAAGACACTTCGCTAGCCCTGCCGAGGGGATGGCTCAGCCATGCCGAGCGAAACGAAATCTTCTTTCGCACGCGTTCGTTTTTTCGCAGCAGGAAACATTCCCGATACTGACGCTCGCGACAAGAGACCCGTTCTCGCCGTTGCCACTTAAACGGGTGTGGCTCCATCCACCAATAAAAAAACGTATCCCTCTACACACCCAACCAAATTCCTAAGATTTCAATGGTCGTTTAGACACCCCCTCATGAAAAGGTGTTCCCATTGCCCTGCATAACGTGTTGCAAGACCCCTCGAAGTTGGAATTCCCTCAACCAGTTCCGCTGTATTCTTATTAGGCAAGGCAGACACACGGTACCGCACTACTCATTGATTTGATGAGCACATCCAGTCAACACTTATGCGAACGGGCACACATCTAGTTGATCCTTTACTCCGTGTTGACGAACTAAAGGATCAAATGGTATATCACGCATGCCTGTGCTCCAGTACAAGTCTGATCCTCCCTCAATCCCTACCGTGCTCTTGCTACATTCAGGTGTTTCGAGGCATGCTTCATGGGCCTCCTGTCAATCCCTGCCCTGACCCGCCTTGCGCCCTTATGCTGGGCAACATTGAATCACGCCACATTGACCTCATGCCTTTTGGCGATTGAAGCTGACGAGTCACCGAAGCCCAGCATCTTGTTCACGGCACTTATGTAAGCGCGGGCGGACGACACCACGATGTCCTCGTCAGCACCGCTGCCACTGGAGGTGTTTCAGAGGAAGAAAGAACCAGAGATGGATAGAAATTAATGAGAAAATTACCCTCAAGCAGTTAAGGTTGGCAGGAGAAACGTATAGAACCACTGGGCTTGCACAGCGAGTGACGAGATGTAAAGCAGAGTACATTAACTGCCCTAAATGCTTCTTTCCAGCTGACCGAAAGGTCCACTGAACTGACCTGATGATTTTTTCAACTGACCAAAACGTCCTTTGCACTGACCTGAAGGTCCTCTCGATGCTGCCGTGCTGCGAATGCGTGGCGGTGTGCGCATCGCCAGTGGAGCGAATGGCAACCCTCGTGCATGCCAGGGCGTCGATTCCCTCAGTAACCGATGACAGGGAGTACTCTGTCAGCTCAACGTTCAGCTGAAGGGACAGGAGCGACAGAGGGGGAAGATGGGGAAAAGATGGGGGGAAGATGGGGGGAAGATGGGGGGAAGATGGGGGGATCGCATCACATCCCTTGCACTCCTGCATGCGTGGGCGTCAATGCCTGACAACTCCCTACGACGCCTGATGCTATTAATGGGCTTGTGCGCAGCGTTCACTGGTGCACAGCGTACACTGGTGCAGCGCCAGACCCAACCCACCCACGGCAATAACATGCACAACAGCTCACACTACCAACTCACATCCACAGAGTTGTGGATTGCCTTGTAAACAGCTTCCACTGGCCCAGTTCCAACCGACGCACATGCATGCAGCATGCCTTGTACATCAAAAGTGCACATCTGAGTACAATCGACAATTGCTGAGCAAGCAGCTCACATCAACGATGTTGTTGTTCGCCGTGTACACTGTGCCCACCGGTCCAGCGTGTCCACCTGCACTGTGCTCACCGGTCCAGTGCCGGACCCGCACACATGACTAACATCCACAACATTCCACATCCCCAGCACCACCAGCTCACATCAACAATGTTGTTGATCGCCTTGTACACAGCATCGACCGGTCCAGTGCCCATGGCGGCCTGGATTTGCTCCACCCCGTCTGGCCCCACCAGCTTCACCGTGGCTGTGGGCAGGCCCATGGTGCCGCAAACCACCTGGAATGCAGCACACGCAATGCAACAGATGAAATTCGGCAGTTGTAATGTAACTCGTAAGAAAAGAAAATGAAGCGCCTAGAACAGCAAAAAAAAGACAGAGGAAGGAGGAGCCTTAACAAAGGCGCCTCAGCATTAGCTGTAATGGAGAAAATAAATATAGAGCAAGTGCAGCAACACGCATTATCATATTGTGGCATGATGATGTAGCACATGTAGCACATGATGTGTGCTGCTGCACATGAAGCATATAATGTGTGCTTCTGCACATGATGCACATGATGTGTGTTTCTGCACATGAAGCACATAATGTGTGCTGCTGCACATGAAGCATATAATGTGTGCTTCTGCACAGGATACGTGCTGCTTCGCATGTAGCATATGTTGCACTTGGAAGTTTCAGAAGCATACCTGCAGGTCGGTGAGCTGCCAGATGGTCTTGGGCTGGAACACGGAGTCAGAGACGAGCGCCTCCAGGTCCCCATCGGTGAGGATCTTCTTCTTGTCCGCTACTGTCTTGAATCGCTTGAACACCTCGTCCAACTCTGCAGTGTCAAAGTCGTATCCCATCTGACGGGGGAGGAGGGGAAGAGGAAGGAGATTGCATAGGAGGGGGGATTGAGCGTCAACAGTCCCCATCAGTGACGATCTTCTTCTTGTCTGCAACTGCCTTGAAGTGCTTGAACGCCTCGTCCAACTTCGCGGTGTCGAAGTCATACCCCATCTGAAAGGGGGGGGGAGAAGCAGGCAGGGAGGAGGGGGGTATCAATGTGTAATTAAACCCCATCAGTGACGATCTTCCAACTCTGAGGTATCAAAGACATCACCCATCTGAGGCAGAGGAAGGGGTCGCGGAATGTGAAGAAGCAGATAGGTCCAGTACAGAGGGGGGTCATTTGTCCACAGCCGTCTTGAATCGATTAAACACTCGTCGAGCTCTGAGGCTTCGACATCATAACCCTTGCAAGAGAAGGGGAAGGGGATACAGTGGAAGACACATAACCGCCCAACACCAGCCCTGCAGCATCACAGCATCACTAAGCACACCGGCCACATGCTCTGGTGTGGACGACCGCTGGCTGGCCTACCCCATCCTATCTGGTCAACCCTGATCAGCCTGCTTGCTCCCGGCGAGTCAACCCCCCATCCTATGTGGTCCAGCACAGCACTACCATCGCACCCTGCGTGCTGCAGGCGGGTCTTCAGCGCACACCAGCCGCCGCTCACCTTCCCCAGCATCAGCACCAGGCCCGCAGCATCAGCACCAGGCCCGCAGCATCGCTGCTCTGCCGCACAACGCTCACATCCTCTAGGCCTGCCTTCCACTCCCGCACCTTCGACTTGACCCCCCCTCGTCTCCCTCACCTCCATTCCGCCCATCTAACTCTTACCTGCTGCAGGCGCGTACTCAGCGCATGGCGGCCGCTGTGCTTGCCCAGCACCAAGCCAGCAGCATCGCTGCGCACGATGCCCACATCCTCTGGTGCGAGGCCTTCCTCCCCTCACCCTCACCCTTTCCCCCCAACACCTACGCTCCTCCCCTCACCCTACCTGTTGCAGGCGCGTCCTCAGCGCGTGGCGGCCGCTGTGCTTGCCCAGCACGAGCCCAGCGGCATCAGTGCGCACGATGCCCACGTCCTCTGGCGCCATGATCTCGTACGTGCCCTTGAACTTGAGCATGCCGTCCTGCGGGATGGGGGACGGGTGTCAGCAGAGAGAATGCCTGAGAATGCCTACCCTGTGCGATGAAATGAGTCTGTTTCTGAGGCGCCTCAAACAAAGACTCCTGACGCCATGCAACATGTCATGTGTGCGCACTGGCACTTGAGAATGCCTACCCTGTGCCATGAAATGAATGCACGAGCAGACGACAGACGCACATGAACACAGGTTGCATGCACGAGGGAAGGTCCAAGTGCAAGAGCGGATGTGGTGTTAGCTGGCAGCCAATAAGACTCAGCGCATCAAACCACCCGCCATGCAATGGCACGGGGCTCAAACCACCTGCCATGCAATGGCACGGGGCTCAAACCACCTGACAGGCACTTGCCACCTGCCACCGGCCACCTATCCTACCTGTCAATTCACCTGGGATGCACCTCGTGATCCACCCCCTCTCACCTGGTGAACGCCTCTCACCTGGTGAATGCCGCTCTCATGTGCGAAGGCATTGGCGCCCACAATGGCCTTGTGCGGCTGCACTGACATGCCCGTATAGTCCGCTACCTGCAGTGAGGGACAGAGGAATGGGAAAGGGAGGGGGCCAGCAAGGCACAGTGATTCATAAGAAGGCAGTGGCGCCCACAATGGCCTTGCATGGCTGCACTGACGTGCCCGTATCGACTGCTACGTGATGATAGGAACAGAGGAGGGGTCACGGGGGGAAAGGGAGAGGGTGAATACATTGGCGCCCACAATGGCCGTGCGCGGCTGCACTGACATGCCCATGGTATCCGCTACCTGGTGGAAAGGCGAAGGGGGAAGGGGGAAGGGGGAGAGAGGGAAGGCGGAAGGGGGAAGTGTGCATCGCATCACACACCACGCTACCGATAACACACCATGCGGGCATCACACGTGCCAGACATGCGCCACACACAATGCAGGCACCGCTCGTACCATGCGGCTGGGAACGGAAATGTGCTGGGGCGTGATGCCCGTCTACAGCCCTCCAAACTGCATGGTGCTTCACATACCATGCAGATGAAGACATACCATGCAGATGAAGACATACCATGCAGATGAAGACATACCATGCAGATGAAGACATACCATGCAGATGAAGACATACCATGCAGATGAAGACATACCATGCAGATGAAGACATACCATGCAGATGAAGACATACCATGCAGATGAAGACATACCATGCAGATGATGACATACCGTGCACATGATGACATACCGTGCACATGATGACATACCACGCAGGCACCACTCGTACCATGCGGCTGGAGAGTGCAATGTGTCTGGGCGTGATGCCGGTGTACAGCCCTCCAAACTGCTCCTTGCCACGGCATTGGATCGCCATCACCACCTGCTCGGCCGGGTAAAAGAAAGAGCACACGAGCACCAGGGAAAACGAGGTGCCTTATGAGTTTTGAGGCGCCTCAAATCCAGGGAAAACGAGGTGCCTTTTGAGTCGACTCAAAAGTCACATTGAACGGCCATCACCACCTGCTCGGCCGGGTAAGAAAGAACACACTAGCACCAGCGACTCACGACACGCGGCCCCTAAACGTCACGCCCCCTCACCTCCACCAGTGATGCGTTGCCGGCCCGCTCTCTGATCCCGTTGATGGTCAACCCCACGACACATGGCCCCTCAACCACCTACCACTCAACGCCACGCCCCCCTCACCTCCTCCAGTGATGCGTTGCCAGCCCGCTCGCCGATCCCGTTGATGGTCAACCCCACGACACATGGCCCCTCAACCACCTACCACTCAACGCCACGCCCCCTCACCTCCTCCAGTGATGCGTTGCCGGCCCGCTCGCCGATCCCGTTGATCGTCACCTCCAGCTGCCGCGCTCCCGCCTTGGCTCCCTGTTTGGGTGGGAAAGGGGTGGGGTGGGAAGCAGCCAGGAAGGAGAAACTGTGAATAACAGCCACAACAGCCACAAGAGCCACAAGAGCCACGACAGCCACGACAGCAGGCTCCTTAATCCCATTGATTGTCATCTCCACCTGCCATGCGCCTGCATTGGCTCCTCAAAAATAAGAAATGGAAAAAGGGAGAAATGACACGGAAAATAATGGAGGAGGGAAGAGGAGAAGAAGGGAGGACGGGGAGAAGGGAAGAAAGGGAGAAGGGGAGACAGAGAAACGTCAAGCATGGGCAAGGCAAAGGGACCCCAATACCATGACTAGTCGATTCCAACTGCCACACTACCTGCCGGGTAGCAGCAAGATCCGAACCATTCTAGCAGTGAGTGCAAAAACCAGATTTTGGTTCTTTCCTTTTTCTTTAAAGATTTCTTACCCACCCGTGACTCACTGCGAGGGCGTTGGCAGTAGCGAGCCCCAGGTCTGTCTGTCTGACAGACCAGTCGGACGTTGAGGAGACGATCAGCTCCTCCTCTTCCTCCGTGCTCTTGCGATTTTTGAGTCGACTCAAAAGTCACCTCGAGCCCCAGGTCGTTCTGGCAGCGCGTGGAGCCGATTATCTTCTCCGCTCCCTCCGCGTTCTTGAGATTGCCCAACCTCCTACGCTGCTGTATCCCCCTTTGGCACCTTACCCCCCTCAACTCACTGCGAGGGCGTTGGCCATCGCAAGGCCCAGGTCGTTCTGGCAGTGCGTGGAGACGATCACTCAGCACATTCTATTGAGTCGACTCAAAAGTCTTCTGGCAGTGCGTGGAGACGATCACTCACCACATTCTCTTGAGTCGACTCAAAAGTCTTCTGGCAGTGCGTGGAGACGATCACTCACCACATTCTCGGTCCCCTCCGTGTGTTCGCCCGAATGCTGCCAATCACTTCTCCAGCCCTCCAACAGTGTCCCCCTCAACTGACCGCAAGCGTGTTGGCCGTCGCAAGGCCCAGGTCGTTCTGGCAGTGCGTGGAGATGATCACGTTCTCGGCTCCCTCCGTGTTCCTCTTGATCTTCGCAATGAGCTCGCCAAACCCCGGCGGCATCGTGTACACCACATATGCAAGGTTCAATACAAGACACAGCACCCAGCATCCCCCAACTTACCGCAAGGGTGTTGGCAGTAGCAAGGCCCAGGTCGTTCTGGCAGTGCGTGGAGATGATCACGTTCTCGGCTCCCTCCGTGTTCCTCTTGATCTTCGCAATGAGCTCGCCAAACCCCGGCGGCATCGTGTACACCACATATGCAAGGTTCAATACAAGACACAGCACCCAGCATCCCCCAACTTACCGCAAGGGTGTTGGCAGTAGCAAGGCCCAGGTCGTTCTGGCAGTGGGTGGAGATGATCACATTCTCGGCTCCCTCCGTGTTCTTCTTGATCTTCGCAATGAGATCGCCAAACTCCGGCGGCATCGTGTATCCGACCGTGTCGGGGATGTTGAGCGTGGTGGCGCCCGCTTTAATCACCTCGCCCAGAATGCGGTACAGGAACTCGGGGTCGGACCTGGAAGGAGGGGGAAGGGCGTGGAAGGAGGGGGAAGGGCGTGGAAGGAGGGGGAAGGGCGTGGAGTCAAGAGCGGAACAAGGCAGAAACAAGGAGATGGTTAGGCCACGGGGACCATGTCTGAGCCCCCCTGCGTGACCCATCCTTACCGCCGCACAGTAGTACTCCCCAGCACAGCACTGCCCATCGCACCCACCTGCGGGCTTCCTCAGCGCTGAACTCGATGTCGTTGCACCCGAGGCATCCCTAACCAGCTGTCGTCCTCCTTCGCATAAGCCACCATACAGCGCGGGATCTCTAACCTAACCCAACCCATCACCACACCTGTATTTCCCCGCGTAACCCACAGCCATCACCACCCACCTGCCGGCGTCTTCCGGGCTGAACTCGATGTCGTTGCATCCCAGGCTCTTGGCGTAAGCCACCATGCTGCGCGCGATCTCCACCACCTCGTCGGGCGTCTTGCGCAGCTTGTACTCCATGTGGATCGCGCTCGTCGCAATAAACGTGTGGATCCGCGGCCGCGCCGCGTGCCGCACCGCCTCCCACGACGCGTCGATGTCCGCCTTGTTGCACCGCGCCAGCCCGCAAATCACGGGCACGTAACCGGTCTTCGGGTCGATATTATTCCCCACCTCCTTAGCGATGGTCCGGACCGCCTCGAGATCATCGGGCGACGCGATCGGGAAGCCCGCCTCGATAATGTCGACGCCGAGGCGCGCCAGCTGGCGCGCGATGTCGAGCTTCTCCTTGCTGGTGAGCGTCGCGCCGGGGGACTGCTCGCCGTCGCGCAGCGTCGTGTCGAAGATGCGGACGTAGTTAGGATCGTCGATACGGTTCGGGATGTACTCCGGACGGGAGGGTCGTGCCGCGGGCTCATTTCCGCTTGCGTAAGCGTTTCCGTTTACGCTGCTGCGGACGCAGGGAGAGGTTCGAGGAAGCTTCGACGGTTGCGCGTGAGATGCGGTAGGGGATGATGTGAAAGTGAGCTGCTGGCCGAAGAAGGTTCTAGGAAGGTCGCATTGGCGGGAAGCTGAGGAGGTGGTGGTGGTCGTGTCGAAACGAGGAACGACGGCAGGGACGACTGCACGAGTCAGCATCACTCCGGCGTGCGCCATGGCTGCTGGGTTCGCCGAGAGAAAAGACAAGTGGCGAGACGACGGAATCTGATACGGGTAAAGACCAGCGAAATGCAGCGTGACGTGGTGTGAGTGGCCCGAACGATATGGAAGCTCCAAACACGTTAGCTTGTTAGGGCTGGAGCGAGGCTCACAAGAAAGCAAAAGCACCAAGACAAGGAAGAGGAAGAATGCATGTGCTGGAATTTCTGTTGTATTTCTGTTGACCAGCACGGGAGCAGCGGGCGGGAAGCACGGGAACCGAAGTGAACCAAAATGGAACAAAGTAAACCGAAGTGAACCGAAGTCTGGAATGGATGGACACAGAATCTGTGTACAAGCAGGGGAGGGAGTCCAGCGAGGCAGCCCGTGGCAACCTTGGTTCCGAGAAAGAAGTGAAGAGACTCGCATGGCGCAATGTGATTGGCTGAGAGGGAATGATTGTCAGTCGCGGAAGATTTCGTCGTGCACAGGCGCGGAGGGGACTTGGAAAAGTTTGCGTGATGCAGGATCCCGAAACAAGGGTTTGTGTCAGCCGTTGGATGATCGTGGAATTCCCGAGGTTTTGGAGAACACGAACTAGCAGTGTTTTGGGCATAACACTTTCAGCTGTCGCTCCATAAATTACTAATAGGTCTCCTTGTTACCGAGTTCTCCAGTATCGAGGTTAGGGTTTGATTTTCTTGGCTCAGATTCTTTCACTGCTAGTCTCAAGTACATGCCCATCCCTGAGTCCTCCTGACCTTCACTCACTCCATGCCTGTCTCCTAGACTAGCACGCTCCACTCCACACACCTGTCGCTCCGCGTACCTTGACTATTTGTTCAAGCCTAGTCGTAGATTGGCATTCGATAGCTTATGACCGTTAAGGCCAGAATAGTTGAGGTCAATTCAGCGTCTCATCTGTAGCGGAAGATTCAACAATTTTCAGATCCTTCCGGTTCCGCGTCGCCATAAGACCCAGCGCTGCTGCTTGCATTACTGTAGATCCGGCCGGGCTAGCGCACCGCACGTCATGGATCCTCTAAAGAAGCTCGAGTACCTCTCACTCGTCTCCAAAGTCTGCTCGGAATTGGAGACGCATGTGGGAATTGCCGACAAAACGCTTGCAGAATTCATCATCGAGCTCGGGCAGCAGAATTTCACGGTCGCCGCTTTCGACGCTGCCTTAAAAGAAAACGGAGCCGAGCTGCCCGAATATTTCGTCGGCACGCTCCTCACCATCATCCACGCCGTCCTTCCCCCCAAATCCAAATCCAAGGGCTCAGGGAAGAAAGCCGGCGACAGTTCGGGCAGCCAGAAATTTCCCGGTCTGGCGGTTCCGGATGACAGGGAGAGAGCCAAAGCTCTGGAGCGGGAAATGCTTGGCGAAGCGTCGCGAGACGCGCGAAGAGATGGGGACAGTTACCACGATGACAGGGATCGCGACCGGGACCGAGGCCGAGACAGCGACAGAGACAGGGATAGGGATAGGGATGACGGGAGGGAGCGGCGGCGACGGTGGGATGACGATGGGAGCGATAGGCACAGGGACAGGGACAGAGACAGAGACAGAGACAGAGGCAGGGACAGGGATAGTGACAGGGACAGGGAGCGGGACAGAGATAGAGGTAGGGACGAGAGGCGAAGGGGCGAAGACGAGAGGGACCGCTTGCCTCCTAGACCGGCCGTACCGCCGCCGCCGCCGCCTAGGAGCTCGGAGCTGGAGGTGTACGGCATTTACAAGGGGAAGGTGTCCCGCATCATGGAGTTCGGGTGTTTTGTGCAAATAGACCTTCCGGGCAGCCACGAAAAAAAGGAGGGGCTGGTGCACGTGTCGCAGATCGCGTCGCGGCGAATCAACAGCGCGAAGGATGCGGTGGAGAGGGATCAGGAGGTGTGGGTGAAGGTGATCAGCATGTCCGGGCAGAAATTATCTCTCAGCATCCGTGACGTGGACCAGAAAACGGGCAAGGATCTCCTGCCCATGCGAAAAAAACCTTCAACCGGCGAGGACGGGGAGGGCGACGACCGAAGCAACCCGTCCGGCCCGGGCACGCGCGGATTATCCGGGATCCGCATCGTGGAGGAGGATAACGCCACGGGGCGGCGTCCTGGCCGTCGGATGTCGTCCCCCGAGCGATGGGAGGCTCAGCAGTTAGTCGCGTCAGGCGTCCTGGACGTTACAGATTACCCACAGTATGACGATGAGGGGGGGGGTTTACTGTACCAGGACGAGGGCGAGGAGCAGGAGGTGGAGATCGAGCTTAACGAGGACGAGCCCGCGTTCCTGCGAGGCCAGACGCGCGCCAGCATCGACGTGTCCCCCGTGAAGATCGTCAAGAACCCGGATGGGTCCCTGCAGAGAGCCGCCATGACGCAGTCGGCGCTGGCGAAGGAGCGGCGGGAGCTGAGGGAGCAGCAGCAGCGCAGCATGCTGGACAGCATCCCCAAGGACCTCAACAGGCCGTGGGAAGACCCCATGCCCGAGTCTGGCGAGCGGCACCTGGCGCAGGAGCTGCGGGGCGTGGGGCTGGCGGCGTACGACATGCCTGAGTGGAAGAAGGACGCGTTTGGCAAGGCGCCGACGTTCGGACAGCGGTCGAAGCTGTCGATGCAGGAGCAGCGGCAGAGCCTGCCCATCTACAAGCTGAAGAACGAGCTCATTCAGGCCGTGAATGGGAACCAGGTGCTCGTCGTCATTGGCGAGACGGGGTCCGGGAAGACGACGCAGATGACGCAGTATTTGGCCGAGGCGGGGTACACGAGTAAGGGGAAGATCGGGTGCACGCAGCCGCGGCGCGTGGCGGCCATGTCGGTGGCGAAGCGCGTGGCTGAGGAGTTTGGGTGCAGGTTGGGGGAGGAGGTGGGGTATGCGATCCGGTTTGAGGATTGCACGAGTCCCGAGACGGTGATCAAGTACATGACGGACGGTATGCTTCTGAGAGAGATTCTGGTGGACGAGGATCTCTCGTCGTACTCGGTGATTATGCTCGATGAGGCGCACGAGAGGACGATTCATACCGATGTGCTGTTCGGGCTGCTGAAGGATTTGTTGGGCAGGAGGAAAGATATGCGGCTGATCGTGACGTCGGCCACGCTGGACGCTGAAAAGTTTTCGAATTATTTCTTCCAGTGCCCGATTTTTACCATTCCGGGCAGGACGTTCCCGGTGGAGGTTTTGTATACCAAGGCGCCTGAGACGGATTATTTGGACGCTGCCCTGATCACGGTGATGCAGATTCACCTGACCGAACCTGAGGGTGACATTCTTTTGTTTCTGACCGGGCAGGAGGAAATTGACACGTCGTGCCAGATCCTTTACGAGCGAATCAAAGGGCTCGGGCCGTCCGTCCCAGAACTTATCATCCTGCCCGTGTACAGCTCCCTGCCCAGCGAGATGCAGACAAGAATTTTTGACCCTGCCCCGCCGGGCACCCGGAAAGTCGTCGTGGCCACTAACATCGCAGAAGCCTCCCTGACCATTGACGGAATCTACTACGTGGTAGACCCGGGCTTCGCAAAACAAAAGGTCTACAACCCGAAGCTGGGCCTCGACTCCCTCGTCATCACCCCCATCTCCCAAGCCTCGGCTCGGCAGAGGGCCGGCCGAGCCGGACGCACAGGTCCGGGGAAGTGCTACCGGCTGTACACTGAGAGCGCGTACCGCAACGAGATGCTACCCACCACCGTGCCTGAGATCCAGCGCACGAACCTTGGCATGACGACACTGACACTTAAAGCCATGGGCATCAACGACCTCCTGGCGTTCGACTTCATGGACCCGCCGCCGCCCCAGGCTTTAATCTCCGCTATGGAGCAGCTCTACAACCTCGGCGCCCTAGACGAAGAAGGGCTGCTGACGAAACTCGGGCGGAAAATGGCTGAATTTCCTCTGGAGCCGCCGCTGTCGAAGACGCTGATTGCGAGCGTGGACCTGGGGTGCTCGGAGGAGATTTTGACCATTATTGCTATGCTGCAGGCGCAGAACATCTTCTACCGCCCGCGCGAGAAGCAGGCGCAGGCGGACCAGAAGAAGGCCAAGTTCTTCCAGCCGGAAGGGGACCATCTCACGCTGCTGGCGGTTTATGAGGCGTGGAAGGCCAAGAGCTTCTCGGGGCCGTGGTGCTATGAGAACTTTGTGCAGAGCCGGTCGCTGAGGCGGGCGCAGGACGTGCGGAAACAGCTGCTGACGATCATGGACAGGTGGGTGGTAACCGTGATGCACAGGTATGCGTGGTAACCGGGTAATTGCCGTCACGGAGAGGTGGGTAACCGTTAGAACTGTCAGGGGTGGGTGGGCTTGGAAGGCCAAGGATTTCTCTGGGCCGTGGCGCTATGAGAGCTCCGTGCAGAGCAAGGTGCAAAAAAGGCGATTTTTGAGGCGCTGTTTTTGCACCTTGGTGCGGAGCAGGTTGCTAAGGCGATTTTTTAGGCGGCCCAATGAAGGTCGCCGAGGCAGGCGCAGGATGTGTGGTAACAGAGGTGAGACTGGAGATGTCTCATAACGGAGTCACTATCACACGGGCACAAGACGTGCGGAAATAGCTTCGTACTATCATCGACAGGTGAGAGACTGGTGACCAAGTAACCATTATTTCGCGGCGAGGGAGGGATTGGTGGGCGTGGAAAGGGAAGAGTTTCCCGGGGCTGTGAAGTGAAGTTATGAGGGCTTCGTGCAGAGCTGGTCACTCAGGAGGGCGCAGGACATGCACAAGCAGCTGCTGCCCTAACATGGACAGGTGGGTGGTAACCAGGTAACCATTGGATTGGACACTGAATCATGAGCAGGGGTGGTGATAACCATCTTGTATAGGTGAGGTGGTAACCATTCTGGACAGGTGAGGCAAGCAAGGGCCTGTGCTCGCTCACGGTTCTTCTCCCAGCGCCAGCCCGAGTGGGTGCTGTTGCGCGACCTTGCGATGACCACCAACCGCAACTCCTCCTCCCTATCTTCACAACCTCCCCCCTCCTGCCCCTTCTCCTCTCCTCCCCCGCTCCGCTCCCCTCCCACCATTGTCTTCAGGTACAAGCTGGATGTTGTTTCCTCCGGACGCTATCTCACCAAGATCTGCAAGGCCCTGTGTTCTTCTTCCAAGAGCGATTGCATCTTCCCTCACCTCACCGCTCCGTCCGCACTCTCTTCCCCCCTGCCACTCCCTCGCCACTCCCTCGCCACTCCCTCGCCACTCTGCCCCTCTCCTCAGGTACAAGCTGGACGTGGTGTCGGCCAGTCGCAACTTCATCAAGATCCGCAAGGCGCTGTGCTCCGGCTTCTTCTTCCACGCTGCCCGAAAAGACCCCCAGGAGGGCTACCGGTCAATAGTGGAGAACTAGCCGGTGTACATCCACCCGCCCTCCGCGCTCTTCCAGCGCCAGCCCATCTGGGTGCTGCACCATGAGCTCGTGATGATCCTGAACCTTCTCTCCTTCTCCACTCCTCCCACTCCCACCCCCTCCTCCCCATCCCTCCTCCTGTCTGCAGGTACAAGCTGGATGTTGTATCCGCTGGCCGCAACTTCATCAAAATCCGCAAGGCGCTGTGCTCCGGGTTCTTCTTCCACGCCGCCAGAAAAGACCCTCAAGAAGGCTACCGCTCTATCGTCGAAAACCAACCAGTCTACATCCACCCATCCTCCGCGCTCTTCCAGCGCCAGCCCGACTGGGTGCTGTACCACGAGCTGGTGATGACGACCAAGGAGTACATGCGCGAGTGCACCTTGATCGACCCCAAGTGGCTCGTGGAGTTGGCCCCGCGGTTCTTCCGGCAGGCGGATCCCTCGAAGCTCAGCAAGAGGAAGCGCCAGGAGCGCATCGAGCCGCTTTATGACCGATACCATGAGCCGAACGCGTGGAGGTTGAGTAAGAGGAGGGCGTAAGAAGGGGAGGAGGATGGGAGGAGGGGAGGAGGAGGGGAGGAGTAGAGGAGGAGGAGGGAAGGAGGGGAGGGGGGTAGGGGGGAGGAGGGAGAGATTGGTGGGCTGCTCTTTGGTGTTGGGCTGGTTATATTTCTTCCCCTTGGTGATGACCACCAAGGAGCACACGAGCGAGTGCACGCTCATTGATCCTAGGTGGATCGTGGAGCTTGCCCGGTGGTTCTTCACATAGGCGGATCCCTCGAAGCTGAGCATCGAGTCGCTGTACTACCGGTACCACGAGCCGAGCGCGTGGCGGCTCAGCAACAGACGGGCGCAAACATGGGAGAGGGGGGTGGGGGGGGTTGGGGCGGTGGGGTGTTGAGGTGCCTTTTGAGTCGAATGAGGACCGGATTGAGTTGCTGTGTGACTGGTACCACGAGCCCAACCCATGGCAGCTGAGCAGGAGCAGAGCGTAAACATGAGTGGCCGGGGGAAGGGGGGGAGTTGAGGGTGGCTTCAGGGCAGGAAGCCGTTTGAATTCGTCTCAGGAGCCAGTGAGTTGCTGTATGGATGGGTACCACGAGCCGAGCGCATAGCGGCTGAGCAAGAGGCGACCTTATGAAGGATGCTTCAGGGTTGAGGAGGGAAGTGGAGCGGAGGGGAGGTGTTGAGTGCACTGTGAACAGCGGCTCGGTCCGAACGGATCCATGGAGGCTGAGTAGTGAGCAGGAGGAGAGCTTGAGAAGAAAGGAGGATACTTGAGACTAGTTGGCTGGTCAAAGGGGGTGATTGTATGTGGAAACCTCAATGGTGGGGGAAGAAGGCATGGAGGGGCATGGAGGGAAGGAGGCATGGAGGGATGGAGGCATGGAGGGATGAAGGCATGGAGGGACGAAGCTGTGCAGATTCCTTGTGTTTAGTGAATCAAGAGGTGGAGTGGAGCGAGCATGGGTGGGGCTTGGTTCCTGTGGTATACCAGCAAAGTCAGCAGGATTCCTGTGGTACCTACCGTAGTCCTGTAACATGTGCCTCCACTCTGTAGTATTGACGACTGACTGATGGGAGGTGCGAAAGGAGCGATGGACTGGTGCTGCTTCTGGTCTGCTTCTCCCAGGGCACGCATTCACTGGTGACTCAGGCTATGGCTTTTTGGAGTGCATGCACTTGGTATCCTTGGAAGATCTCTCTGATTTCAATCATGCCGTGTCACTCACCACCATGTCACCTGACAGGCCACTCCCATTCGGGGCATGCAATAATACGTAGTTTCTTCAGAGCTCCAATAGCATCAGACTTTCGTGGTATGAGGCTGATAGGTACCTGCCACTACTATTACCCAGCTAGGCTAAGAAATTTCTTGAGCTCTCTCACACCAGAGCCTGAGTGTTTCGCAGAAGACTTACAGCTGGCGTATAATACAGAGTAAGGAAGGAACAGCGTGGGCAGGACATGTTTTTGACAGTCACCAGCATCCTTCAGCCAGGGAGGGGGGCGCTTCTAGCTGGCGGCAGAGCGAGAGTACCTGCTCTGCAGCAAATTGGTGTAACCCATAGCTGCTACCCCATGTATCATCCACTCCACTGTTCTTACGGCTTGGGAAGCCTCCTGGAGCTGGCAGCAGAGCGGGAGTGCTCTGCAGCAAACTTGGCGTAATCCTCAAGCACTCGGTTGTTGACCCGGTCTTTCATGGACGCTAGAAGCTGCTGCAGCACCTGGGGACACACGGAATACGGTGGGGAGGGGAGAAGGCGAGGAGGGAGGGGGGGGGTTAGAGGGGCTAGTGAACTTGGTTGTTCACTAACTGACCAAGCTGTTACACTCACCAAGCTGTTACGCTCACCAAGCTGTTACACTCACCAAGCTCTTACACTCACCAAGCTGTTACCCTCACCAAGCTCTTACACTCACCAAGCTGTTACACTCACCAAGCTGTTACACTCACCAAGCTGTTACACTCACCAAGCTGTTACACTCGCCAAGCTGTTACACTCACCAAGCTGTTACACTCATCAAGCTCTTACACTCACGAAGCTGTTACACTCACCAAGCTGTTACACTCACCAAGCTCTTACACTCACCAAGCTGTTACACGCACGGCACTCCCAACAGCCTTAATGGAATGCCATGGCACGTGGAGCAGGTTGGGTTGGGCGGCACGTCACCTGCATGCCCACAATCACCGCCATCCATCCATGCACGTTCCGCATCTCGCTCCTTCTACCATGCCACTCACCGCACTTCCAACCGCTTCAATAGATTGTCTTGGAACAAGAAAGAGGTTGGGCGGTACCTGCATGCCCCCACAACATGCTCACTCAAGCAACCACCCTTCCTTCTACTGTCCAACTCACTGCGCTCTTACACTCACCGCACTCCCAACAGCCTCAATTGATTGCCGCGGAACTAGAAACAGGTTGGGCGGCACCTGCATGCCAACAGTCACCGCCATCTGCCCCCGCAGCATACTCCGGTTGACACCCTGTCGCCCGCCATAGCTCACACTACTACTGCTCACGCTGCTGATGCTGCTGCTGCTGCTGCTGCTAATGCCGGATCCGCTGCTGCTGCTGTAAGAGGTTATGGTGGCCCCACCACCCACACTGCTGCTGCTGCTGCTGTAGCTGAATCTGGAGCCGTTCCCCTGCGCTTGCCTGCTGCTGCTGGTGTAGCTGGTGACCACGGAGGGCTGACTGGCTCTGGCTGACTGCGCGAAGAGAGAGCCGCGCACGTCTAGAGAGAACTTCGATGGGTCGTAGTCCACGCCCTTGAGCTCCCAGTTGGTCTGAAGGAAGGTGAGGGAGGAAAACGGGGTGTGAGGGAGGAGGGGGGGTGTGAGGGAGGAGGGGGGGTGTGAGGGAGGAGAAGGTGGTGTCAGGGATGAGAGGGTGGGGTGGGTGAGGGATGGGAGGGTGGAGCCGGAGACAGACAGTCAAAATACGACTCGGCTGAGCAATGAGACAGCATGAGACGACAGGGCATGGCACAACATCACTGCAAATTCAAACCCCATTGCTTGCCGAGGCATGGCATTCGTTGCGCATTAGCGTTTCTGGAAAGACATGCTTGCAGGTGCAAGGAGTACATGATTATTATGAGAAAATAAAATTGAAACAAAGAAAAAAAACGAATCAAGGTAATGGGACACATTACCGCTTGCAAGCGCATGACGTGCTTCACTAAAGAGGCATCTCGAACTTTATCCGCTGAAAGGGATGGCCTGTCGAGGAATATCCGCATGTCCACGATTGGCCGAGCTGTAACCAGGAAGAACGTGATTGGTAACATGTGGATCCGCCACTCATCCTGCACAAATAATGGTGGAATGGGCAGAAACACATGCAAATGAGAATGAACGTACCCAAACAATTTTCCATATGCCTGTAACAATGATAGAAATCTCCACTGATTTCTTTCATCAGTGAATATCAATGAATGAGGGCACATTGGGCACTCGTGCTCGCCACAATATCCCCCTCTTGTAGAGATAACCGTCTTGAATCTACAAGTCACCTCCTCGCCTCTGAACGTCACCTCCTCGCCTCTGAACGTCACCTCCTCGCCTCTGAACGTCACCTCCTCGCCTCTGAACGTCACCTCCTCGCCTCTGAACGTCCACCATATGCACCACAAGACACCTATCAGTCATCACAACAGAAAAAATATAAGACAGCACAGCACAGCAAATCACAGCACAGCGCAGCCCAGGGCAGCGCAGCCCAGCGCAGCGCAGCACAGCACAGCACAGCACAGTACAATCACAGCACATCACGGCACGGCACGGCAAGCACGGCACGGCACGGCACGGCACGGCACGGCACGGCACGGCACGGCACGGCACAGCACAGTGTAAACAAGTACCTCCGAAAGCTTCTCCGCGCGCTGCTTGTCAGGGAAGAAGGCGTTGAACACCCGGTTGGGGTTCTCCAGGTACGCGTGGAATGGCGCCTGTGGAGGGTTTCACAGTTACAACAACGATACATGTTTGAGCCAAGTCCTGTAACAGTAGCTTACGGAACATATGAAGGTGTGTAACTGGGTGAAAATGGGTGGAACTATTTGAAATTGTTTGACATTGGGGCGAAGTGTAGACGAGATTCGGCGATGGCGACACCGTGCGTGCGGGGGTACCTCGGGTCGTTCTCTCAGCGGGATGTTCGTGTCGAGCGACGCGGTGAATTCTACATAGTCGAAGCTCGCCTGTGCAACGCCCGCGAGCCCTCGCTGCCTTCTGGACGGAGTCTGTTTGCCGTCATTTTCGCCGCCAATTCCGGCGGTCTCTCGTCTAAACCTTCTCGGCAGGCCGGAAACAAGCTCTTTCAGGAAAAGCGAACCCAACCTTGGCGATATAAACGACGATTTCGCCAATTCGGAAGGGTTTGAGCAGTGGGGTTGGCGACGTAGCGACGAGCCTGGCGACGGCGTGCGACAGAATTGTGCAGCGACTGCTTGTCGCCGGGGCCACTGATGCGGGCCCGAAGCGAGAGCGCCATTCGCGGTGAAGACTGCTCGTCTCGCCGCTAGCTCTCGCCACGCCGCCATCGCAGGAGGCGATAATCTCGATGCGAACTAACGCACTTCCAAGCCGACTCAAAGAGTTGGCAAGGACTCCGACAGAGTCTAGTCTGTCTGCCGTGGATTCTTTGGCTACCCAAGCGTCAAATACTTAACTCCCAGGTGGCTTTGGTAGTGGCGAGGGAAGAGCGAGCGCACTGGAAGCCAGGCGACGAGGCCGGGGCTTGTTGACAAGCGGACGCCGTTCGTGTCAAGGCGACGGAATCGGAAATCGACACACGTCATTTGAAACTCTCTTGGCCAGTCAGAAGTTTTCAGCCCGAAGCTCGAAACCTCGATGACTCGAGGTCTGTATTGCGGTTGCGGGAACGGTCCCACAACTGAGGCGGGAGTCCGCGAGAACAACGCCTCGCTTCAGCGAAATTCGCGACATTTGATCGGTGTTACGAAAATTGGCAAAAAGAGTGTTTTAAATACCAAAAGCAAAAGTCGCTTACCGTAAGTACCGTATACGTGCTATAGGGAGTTATTGTGAGGCTTCTATCGGAGACAGGTGATCCTAACTGATCTGAATCCCGCCTAGCTGTCATGTTCCAGATTTCGACAAGCGTCTGCTAGTTAGCTAATCAGCAGCCCACTTTCCGCGCCATGGCGGTTCCGCGCCACGTCTGCGGCGCGGATGACGCAATGGTTTCGGCCTCGGCTCCACGACGACTCCTCTTGCGTCATCCCCCAGCGCATGCACCCCTTGTGCCCCATGTAATGGGTGTGTGCGCCGCGGTTTCGGCTTCAGCTCCACGGCGACTCCTCTCGCATCGCGTGTTGCCCTCCTTCCTCCTCCGAGTCGCTCTTCTGCTTCAGACATCCGGATGTCTCGTCACGTCCTTCCCACGGTCAGGCCGCGTAAAACGCGGCGTCGACCGCAACTTGAAGAGTCATCCTCTCAAATCGCCGAGAGAAACAGCTCCATTGCTCGACGCAATACCGCCATCTTGCATTTCCCCTCGGTTTAGCTACCTCCTTCTTCATCCCCACGCGCTATCGGCAGCCTGTCAGGTTTGAATACTCAACCATGCAGGAGCAGCAGAAGCAGCAGAAGCAGCAGCCAAGCCAAGCGCAGCAAGAGGCGCCGCAGCAGCAGCAGCAGCAGCAGCAGCAGGAGCGCCACGCGCGCCACGAGGCGCATCACGAGCTGCCAGCCACTCATGCCACGTCAGAGCGGCCCGGGCGAGTGGTGGTGGAGGGCGAAGCCGTCGCGCCGTTCGTGGAGAAGCATCCTGGAAAGATCGCCCTGCCCGCCCAGTCCGCTGGAACTGCTGGCCGCGGTTCATCTGAGACAGGCTTATCTGAGGGCGGTTTGCCCAGTGGAGGCGGGTACTCAGGCCTGGCCGCTCCTGCCAGGGAGGAATTGGAATCGCTAGAGGAGTTCAAAGTGGTTGGGAAGGGCGGGAAGGTTAAGGAGGGTGACAAGGGCGAGCTAGTGGAGCTGCAGACACGTGGCGTGCAGGGATTGGCGGAGGAGGAGGGAGGAGGTGCAGCAGCAGAGGAGACTAAGGCTGAAATGGGGAAAGGGCGTGGAGTTACTTCTGGACCTGTGAAGGGAGCGGGAGAGGCGAAGGCGGGAGAGAAGGCGGGAGAGAAGGCGGGAGAGAAGGTTGGAGAGACGCCAGCGGATGCAGGAGGTGCGGGAGCGGAGACTAAGGCAGAAGAAGGGATCAGCCATGGGGTCACCTTTGGGGCGGTGAAGGAGACGGGAGAGAAGATCGGAGGGACGCAGAGTGCATCTGAGCCGACTGAAGCGCGGGAAGGGAAAGGGCGTGGGGTCAGTCTTGGAGCCGGGAAGAGAACAGCGGAAGCGGAGGAGGAGACGGCTGGAGAGATGCGAGCAGAGGAAGCAGGAGCGAAGAAACGGGAGGGAGCTCTGGCGGAGGGAGAGGAGAAGGCAGGGGCGGAGGGGAAAGAGAGGGCTGGAGAAGCGAAGAAGAAAGAAGGGCGAGGGGCGGAAGGTGAGGCTGTGACGGAAGGGGTGGATAAGGGGGAGACGGCAGGTGGGCGCGCTGGTGCTGGAGGGGCGGAAGGGCGCATTGAGGCGCAGGAGACGGCTGGCTGGCAGGCGGAGAGGGGCGGGGAGGAGGTGAAAGGGCTGGAAGAGAGGGTGAGCGGACTGGAGGAAGAGGTGGGGAAGATGTCGCTGGGGGAGGGCGGAAGGGAGCAGAGGAAGGGGGAGGGCGGAAGGGAGCAGAGGGAGGGGGAGGGCGGAAGGGAGCAGAGGGAGGGGGAGGGAGGAAGGGAGCAGAGGGAGGGGGAGGGAGGAAGGGAGCAGAGGGAGGGGGAGGGCGGAAGGGAGCAGAGGGAGGGGGAGGGCGGAAGGGAGCAGAGGGAGGGGGAGGGAGGAAGGGAGCAGAGGGAGGGAATGCGAGAGGGCGAGGCGGGGACGTGGGGACTGGAGGAGGGGCTGAAAAAGCTGTCTGTTTCGGACTTGGCTGGGACGACTGGGGAGGGCGGAGAGGGAGAGAAAAAGGTGGAGAGTCGGGAGGGAAAGGGCTTTGGGAAACCATTGGAGGCGCAGCAGGAGGTGCGAGGGTTGGAGCAGGGAGTGGGAAAGCTGCGGGTTTCAGACATGGGGGGAAAGCGAGGGCAGGGAGGAGAGGGGGGCAAAACGATGACGAGTGGCGAGGCAGGGATGAGTGGAACACCCCTGGAGGCGCAGCAGCAGGTGCGAGGGTTGGAGCAGGGAGTGGGGAAGCTGCCGGTGTATGCAGAAGGAGGTGGGAGCGGCGGGAAGAAACAGGGTGAGGCGGGCAAGGAGGGCGGACAGGAGGGCGGACAGGAGGGCGGACAGGAGAGCAGCGGGGGGGAGGAAGAGAAGGCAGAGGGAGCGGGAATGGTGGCGTCTGCTTGGAGCTCCGCCACAGGGGCTATTGGCGACACTGTGAAGGTACCTGCAGACACTAAAGCGCACCATTCCCATCAGATGGACCTAGCCTCCACAAGACATGAGGAGGAGTGGTACTTGCAGAATCTGAGACGCCCTATTCCCATCCTCTCCCGCTTGAAAGGCATTGGAGAGCGAGCAGTCCCATCCTCCATTTTCATCCTCTTGTGCTTGAATGGCATTGGAGTGAAGGGCCCTCTGCTGTACCCATCGTCTCCCATCCTCCTCTGGCGCGGGGCCCTTCATTTCGTGCTCTCCCCATCGTGAATCAACAGCCTCATTCCTATTTTTTCTTCCTGTCACGCGGTTGTGCCTTGTTTCTAGATTTCCTATATTTTCTTTTGTTGGTTTGTTCGCCTTGTGGTTGTTTCCTGCACCTCTGATGACTCATCTTCACTCCTGGCCAAATCCCTCTCCCCCCCCCCCCTTCCTCTCTCCGTGCTCCCCACATCCTCCCTCTGGTTCTGTTTTTCTTCGTTTTGCTCACTTTCACCCCGCCCGTCTTCTCTTCTCTCAGACCCTCAGCTCGCTCGCTGGTTTCCCACTCGACACTCAAAATGTGCCCCAAGACATGAAAGACGAGGCTGGAATCGCTGACAGGGCGACTCTACAGTCCGTCCTGATGATTTCCTCTGCTGACAGGGCACCCTTCTGATGATTCCATCCCCGTGTGTGTCGTCTCTTTTCTCAGACAATCAGCTCGCTCGCTGGTTTCCCACTCAACACTCAAGATGTGTCTGAAGGCACGAAAGAGGAGGTTGGAACTGCGGAGGGGAAAGCCGTAGGTGAGGAGCGTGTGGGGTATGGCAGGTGAGGAGCGTGTGGGGTATGGCAGGTGAGGAGCGTGGCTTGCATGGGTATGGGCACGGAGGTGGAACGCTCACGCAGGATGTGCTCACTCACACCCATTGGCGAAGAGTGTGGCATGGGGGAAGGAAATGCTGCTGGTGAGGGGAATGGGGGAAGGAAATGCTGCTGGTGAGGGGTGTGAGGATGGAGGTTGGAAGAAGGGAGGGTTTTCGGGCTTGCGCGTTATTGACCGTGGTGTGAGGTGGGTGTGTGTTAGGCGCTGACTAGGTGCCGTGCCGTGCATTGTGCCAATCTGACGTGGTGGGCTGCAGCTGCAGGAGGCACACAAGCGAGAGGGATGCAGATTGAGGAATGAATGGTCAAGGGGAGGAAGACAGGGGGAATGCGTTTGGATGTTGGATTTTCCAAGATGATCGTGGGATGTGTTACCAGCAATTGGGATGGATTCTAGCGCTTTTGTTGCCTGATTTTCCTGTCTTTAGCACGTTCCTTTTGTTTGTATACATCAGCATACATTTGTTGCTCAACTTCTCGCTGAATTTAGAAGTGTAAATGCCCTTGGTTGGATTTCAGTAAGGTCAAGTGACGGGTATTGTGAAGGCACAACCAACCAGGGGGTGGAAGCTCTTAACGAGTATGTAGGCGGGTTTGATCAAAGCAGGGCATAATGCTGACTGAGTACGCTAAGCAGATCAAGACATTTCCCCGACCCCTTTTTTTTTCGCCACGAATGGAAATGGCAATTCCAGCTACAGCTCATCTCGCTGCATGGCGCCTCGTTCACTCGCCGTGATGACCGCCGCGGATGGCGGCGGTGGTTGTCCGTCGAACCCAAGTCTCTCTCTCAAAGCTGCTTCGAGTCAAAGTGTGCGCGCTTTGGTGGCTTGCGCTCGATACAGCGCGCAATCCAAAGCGCGCAAGCCAGAGCGGACATGACAAGCCCATGACCTGGGAGTCCTGGGCGAAGTGCCGGAGGAATTCCCGTTTTGCCGGAGAGGGTTCTTCGCGGAGGAATGCTCGCATCATCATGTCGCCACGTGGCAGATTCTCGAGGTTCATGTGCACGAGCCTCTTCCGAGACGCGCCTCTGGAGCACCAACCCGTCGCTCGGACTTTCCCGCGCCCGTATGCATGGCGTTTTTGAGAAATTTCTCAACACCCTGCGAGATAGCCTCGTGAGCACGAGGTAGCCGCTTTCCGTCGCCAGTCGCGTTTCCTGTGAAGAACTATCGCGGTAATAGATAGCCTTGACAAGTACTGCTGGCGATTTTCCAATAAGGTGGTTTCACTTCGCGGCGGTACACTCCGTTCCGTAGGTCGTCACGTCTTGGCGATAGCTGCGTGCGGTGGTTTCACTTCGTGGCGGTCCAGCTCTACCCCTGCTGTTGCGCGTTCTTGCAGCGACGCTGCTGTAAATCTTGGAGGAGAATCTCCTCTTATTCTGACTACCGAGAATCCAGCTGTTTAGGTCGGAGCAACAGCAGCAGCAGCTGCAGCTGCAGCAGCCATTGCCGCAGAAACAGCAGCAGCAGGAGCCACCAGAGCATCAGGAGGCGATGGAAGTCGAATCCGACGTGTACCTGCAGGATTCGCCAATCGAAGCTGACGTGGACTGGCAGGAGACGGCTGGAGCACAGATTGACGCGGGAGTTGAGGGGGGAATAGACGAGGAGGAGACGGCGGGATGGCAGGCCGCGTTAGGGTTTGAGGAGCTGGAGGCGCTGAGGGCTGGCGTGGGGAAGAACGTGGAGAGAGGGGGGGCGATTGGGGGAGGAGAGGGGGAGAGTATGGGGGGAGAGGGGGAGAGTATGGGGGGAGAGGGGGAGAGTATGGGGGGAGAGGGGGAGAGTATGGGGGGAGAGGGGGAGAGTATGGGGGGAGAGGGGAGAGTATGGGGGGAGAGGGGGAGAGTATGGGGGGAGAGGGGAAACCTTCTGAAGGGGGGAGGGGAGTAGCGCGGCAGGCGGAAGGAGGGGAGGTGCTGGGAGCGCTGGGTGGTGATGCGATGGGAGGAGCGGTGCCTCCCATGCCTCCCATGCCTCCCATGCCATCCATGCCGTCAGTTGACGGGGTGGTGGGAGGGACCAAGGACATGGCAGCTTCGGCTTGGAGTCACACCAAAGAGGTGAGCTTGAGAGTGACCGTGCATCCGCTTCCCGCTTGTTCAATGCCATGCACTCCACACCCCCTCTCCCTTCACCTTTCCACCCTCCCCATTCCCCCCGACGTGCCCCCAAAACTGCCCCTCACAGCTGCTTTAGCTGCCGTGCCCTCACCCATGCCTTCTCCCGCCGCGCTTCCGCTCTCCCCTTCTCCCTACCTTTAGTTGACTCAGACGCCATGGCTCCTCTTCTTCCGCCCCAATACTCTCTTCTTCCGCCCCACCACCCTCTTCTTCCTCAGGCCATGGGGGGTCATCGGTTGAGCACTGCTGGCTTCGCGCCCAGCTGTAGTTACCGCCTTGTTTAGAGGTCTGCAATGTAGTGTAACGCCGTGTGTGCTCTCCTCTCCTGTCCTTGCTGCCTGCAGGCCATGGAGTCGGCAGCTGAGAGCGCTGCTGCTGGCATAGCAGGGCTCCACACGGACGCTCCTCCCATCGGCATTCCCTTGGGCTCCTCATCACTGCCCCTCGGGACAGATGAGTCGCAGCTAGGCGCGGCTGCTCTGGTGGCAGGGGAGATGGGGCCTGAGAAGGGGGAGCGATCCAGCTCCAGTTGAACCCCTTCGAGCTTCCCCTGGGCACATGAGTTGCAGTATGCTCTGCTGCTCCAGCTGCTGGAGAAATGGGACCTGAAAAAGGGGGAGAGATCCAGCTAGACATTGGCATTCCTCACCTCAGCTCAGTGCCGAGGCTCCTCCTATTGGGCATGCCTGTGGGCTCCTCCAGACCAGCTGCTGCTGCGAAGGAGGTCTATCACTGAAAGGGCTGGCTAGCTAATCATGGCGCAGAACTAGATTTGCAGGTTTTCCTTAGCCCGAAGCTGCTCTCATGTACACGATGCTGTTTGCTCAGGTACACAATCTGATCTGCAATGTCGTGCCAATGCCAGTTGTTGGGCTGAGAATTGCCCTTAGGATCTTTTCAGAGACTAAGTCCCAGTTGTACAAGATACTTGAGTAGTGCAGCGGAGGTTGAGTAATTGAACCCTTGCGCTAGTATATGAGAGCAAGTGATTGATTAAAAGAAACAAGCATACAGCAATATATAGGAAATAGTAAAGCAGTTGTAGAATACAGTTGAAAGAGCGGTTTATCGAGTCGCACAGCGATTCGATTGTCGGTTCGGTTACCATCCTTGTGGTTGTAACGGTCAGTCGCAACCTCCGGTTGCGACCCTTCGTGTCCTTTCGTGTTCTTTGTCCACTCCCTCGTGTAACCTCCGTTGACTTGCGCACCCGTTACGACTTTCCTCGAGTGTAGTGTTACACTTCAGAAACGCTGAAGTGCTCGAGATATTTCCAACAATTGCTGTATGCTTGTTTCTTTTAATCAATCACTTGCTCTCACATACTAGTGCTAGGGTTCAACTACTCAACTTCCGCTGCACTACTCAAGCATCTTGTACAAGTGGGACTTAGTCTCTGAAAAGATCCTAAGGGCTTTTCTCAGCCCAACAAAATTGATCAACAGGGAATAACGCTGCACACATGGTATGGTACTCCACAAAAGATGCAAGGAACGCAATGAATGGCATGCCCATATAAGAGACAAAATCGTCATCAGCAACTAGCCCCACCTCCCTCAGTCATGTCATCACACGCATCCCATGTGAGAGTGCTCCCCAGATGCATCTCTCACATCAGCCTCACCAATACAGTAACAACATCAACAGGCATCTCCGCACAGGAGGCAGCAGCAGCACTGGACTCATCAGCACAAGTGGCAGCATCCCCATCAGACGTCTCAGCAGCACATGGTGTAGCTTCCCCATCAGTCGTCGTCTCAGCACATGTGGCCGCAGCAGGAGCAGGTGTCTCAGCACACGTCGCAGCAGCAGCAACAGTCGACGCAGAAGAGGTAGAGGGTGCACACACTGAAGGAGCTTCGACTGTTGGTGCATTCCAGTTGGAGTTGTGAGCCGCACCGCTTTCGCCCTTGGCTGAGGACCGGAAGGTCAAGCAGGGAAGGGAGAGGGAGAAGTGGGAAGAAGAGACGCTGCAGGATCAGCCATCGCTTCTCAGCCTGGAAACAACACTATTTTCACTGCCATCCTCTCCAGCCCTGCCTATAGCCTATCAACCTTGCATCTCTTCCCAAGCCTCGCCCTCCCACTTCACACACACAGCACACAATCACAAGGCAGTGTTGCCATGACCAGGACAATCAACACCACTGTCGCCATTCTCACTCTCACGGCCATATGACCACTCCAAGCACCCCACTCCAACCACCCGATTCCAAGCACCCCATTCCAACTAGCCCACTATGACTCACGTGAGTGCTTGCCTCTCTGCCCCGCCACTGAAGAGGGTCGAGCACGAGCGGGATTGGTATTCGCATGCTGGCCAGCTGCTGATATCGGAAGAGCCTGAGCAGCTGCACCACCACGCGGAGGGATGTGGGCAGCAGCACGTGAAGGCACACTGACTGAATGGGGCCCAGCACGAGCGGCAGTGGTGCTCGTGCTGGCGCCAGCAGCAGAGGAAGGACGAGACTGGCTGGAGTTTGTAGCCACTCCACCATGGGTAGGGATGGGGGCAGCAACACGTGAAGGGGCTTGGACAGCAGCACTAGGAGCATGGGCGGCCGCACGGGGAGCGTGAGCGGCAGTATGAGCAGCGTCGGCAGCAGTGCGGAGGGGGGCGGGAGTGGCAGACCCAGAAGCAGGGAGGGCGGCAGAGTAAGCAGCAGGGCGGCCGGCACGGGGAACAGGTCGAGTGGCAGTGCGAGGAGAAGGGAGGGCAGCAGTACCAGGAGCAGCGAGGTCGGAGAACGACGAGTAGGAGGGGCGCCAGTACGAGGAACAGGAAGAGTGGCAGGGAGGGTAGTGCGGGAAGCAGGGCCGGCGGCAGAATGAGCAGCAGGGCGGGCGGCAGGGTGAGCAGCGTGGCGGGCAGCAGAGTGCGCAGCAGTGCGGGCAGCAGGCTGAGCAGCAGGGCGGGCGGCAGAGTGCACAGCAGGGCGGGCGAGGGAATGAGCAGCAGGGGGGGTGGCACTTTGAGGAGTAGGGATGGCGGCGGTGCGGGCGGAAGCACGGGCAGAGAGGGCGGCAGTGCGTGGAGCAGAGAGGGCAGCAGTGCGTGGAGCAGAGAGGGCGGCAGTGCGTGGAGCAGAGTGGGCAGCAGGATGAGGAGCAGGGCTGATGAGAGAGCGGCGAGTGGCATAGAGGTGTTCGTTCTCAGCTCTGAATTCGTCTCTTGAGTCGCTTTCAGACATTCGCAGCAGTCCATAGACATGTCCCTACCAGGGCATTCAAAACCGGAAAGAACAAGGAGCGTTAAAGTGGCAGAGGAGATGCGCGAATAGCACTGAGACAATGGAACGTGATTATGGCGAAAGTGAAGGATGTGTTTGAAACGATGCACAAAGAACGATGGAAAAGGGATGTACCTTGGTGCAAACGTAATCAACACGAGCAGGGACCTTCACAATTCCCGGGAACACAAAGCCTTTCTTGAGCAGATACATGGATCCATTTACAACCCAAACCTGCCAGAAAACGTGGTGAAATGAGTGTTCTGACAAAAAGGCCGACAGCACTGATCTAAGAAAACTTATCAAGCTCAACAGCTAAATCTAGTTACGAGGCACCTCAAAACGAAAATCCACCAGAGTCATATCATGCTCAAGAGCTAAAAGATGTGTTCGAATTCAATTTTGGCAAAAGCAGAGACGCACATGAGATGTGCAGAACGGGCAAACCTAATCCTTTTCAAAGGCGCGTCCCAAAAGACGTTCATACATCCTGTGAGTGATAAGAGAGAGGAAGAGAGGAGAGGAAGAGAGGAGAGGAAGAGGGAAAAGAGGAAAGAAAATAAGCAGAGGGGAGGAGGAGGGGGGGAAAAGAGGGGTGGGGTTGGGGAGAGAAAGGGGACCGTGTATAGTCAACACACAGCAGAACAAAACACACCCACGCCAGAGAAGGCAAGAGGTTCTTACCTCGAGTTGCGGGAGTCGGGAACAAACCCGCGAAAAGTAGCAGTAGGCCTGCCAGCGACCTTTAGATCCTCATGGCGGAAGCAGAGCAGGAAGAATTGCGATTCTGAAACGCACGGAACGACAACCGTATGCTTGAAACCTCCTGCGATATTTCTGTGCGGCCTGGAAATGGGAGCTTCCGCGAGCGCCTTAACTGGTACATACTGCGGCATCACGTCCGAGCCACATGGTATATCCCTCCATCTACTCAAACTGCTACATGTTGCATCCCAGCAGGGATAACAACTGCATTTCATCAGCGATCTTCGTAATCCCGGACACCAACTGAACAGCTTCCCGAGGAACTTAAAGCCATCGTTCCCAATTCCCTCAAGCGTGCCGTCGATGCGTTGGACTCGTCGAGACACGGCGTCACCCTCCGACTTGTCACCGACGGCAGAGATGCCGACAAGATTCGCAAGAAAATCGCGGCAGAACCAGCGCCATAGGAGCGTTCGAGCCATGCGTGAAAAGGACCTCGATACGCACGCCATCCGCGCTAGCAGTTTGTAAGGTTCTGTTGGATGCGCCCGGCTAATGATGGCATGTATCAGCTCAGGCGGAAGTGCCTCCATGGCGGGTGGAAGGCGGTTGATGATAGCACCGACTATCAGGAAGGGATCTCGGTAAGCGATCTTGCGATCTTGCTGAGCGAGGATGAGTAGCAGAGGAGAGTGTGGTTACGAAAATGAAAGAAGCAAGACGGCGAGGATGCCGATCGGGAGAGGGGTGGAGAGCGGTGTAGCTGATGAGGTAGGAGGTCCATCCCAAAAATGTGAAACCGGTTGGGGTTGGACCCGCGCCACGTTGTGTTTACTAAGTCCCAGTCAATGAGGTTGCGACGAAGTGAGAGTGAAGTTGGGACAACGACATCGTAATAGCTTGTTTGCCTACGACGAAGCCATCGTGCTCAGGTGCTATGACAGCCCATCATCTGAGGGCGTGAAACTGAACCTTAGTGCATACGATGCAGATCCGAACAGTCGCGTTGGTTTCCGCAACATGCTCGCCACGTCCCAGCCACCATACCAAGTGCTTTGCCCAGCTGAAGCTGTGTGGCGAGATCTGATTGGCCCAAAACAAATCACGAATCAGAGAAGGGGATACAGTTTGCTGCAACCAAGTACAATGTAGTACACCAAGCAAATTCAACTCACATGTGATTGGTCGAGAACGATAGTAGCGGTGCGTCGAAACATGCGAGGTCATTCCGACATCTGCGATTCACGAACACTTGACATTTCGCCAACACCCTTCGTGAAAACGGGTTTCCACAGTTTTAGATATAGAGAGCTCAGCAATGTACCAGACTCAATGTTACATCGAAGAACTCTCTAACAAGTACAAAACTTTCAGCCAATAGCACAGCGACATGGCAACTTCACGCCAATCCCCAACTACCAGAACAAACCCTTATCCTCAAGCCACGCCAACGATAACTACAGGAAGTTCCATCCAACTCACCCACTTCATTTCCATCTGACGTATCTCATCACTCGAGCTTGTCGTCGTTGCAGGTTTCCTTCTCCTAGATCTGTCTTGTAGTTCACCTCGTAGCAGCTGTGCGATGTCGCATTGTCTAGGGGCTTCATGAGTCACGTGTAGTATCAGCATGCTGACAACGTCCTTTTCCTTTTCCTGTGCGCTTGCTGCAGATTCGTTACGTCGGAAGTAATTAATTCCTGTCGAAGACCGTCAAGCGCCAGCAGAATGGACCTGTCACGCTTACGTGGATGCTTGTTGCTCTACCAATGCGTCGTGCGAAAAAATGTGAGCTATTTGCGCGGTTCAGTCATGTACCAACGATGAAATTCCATGGCGTTGGCACCGGTCGCTACTCCTTCTAATTGCGTTTCGTGGTCTGGCTTGAGTTTGCAGGAAAAGCACCTGACATGATTTATCGACGGACCATTGGCAATGCAGATCTGAAGCCTTGCGTAAACTAGCTAGCCCATGATATTTACCTAAATTGTTACGGTTGATTCGATATACGTGACTTCTAATGTACTTGTAACCATAATATTGGAATAGAGGTTATCTGACCATCAAACTAGCAGCAGCTACCTGTGGGACGTACAGCACGCACCTGTTTTTTTAACTGAAAATACATAGCTTCTGCATAGCATCTGCATAGCAGCAATGAAGATTTAAAGGAAATACACCATGCAAATGCATAGTGTACGCGAAGGCTCGTGGACATTGGTTCCACTTAGGCTGCCTAAGCTTTGCGTATGCAAAGCGCGTAGTATGCACTTACTAAGGCAAGGTAGTCTGCTGCCACTTAGCATATGCTTTGTATTAGCTTAGGCTTCAGAGACTATGTAAATTGTTCACTGATGAACACGTTTGCACTATGAGGCTGGTGACTTTGTATATGCATAGCGGTTTTCTGATTGTTCGATGCGTATGCATAGGTTGAGGGGGGCGGATTTTTGGGACGTCGTCGCCATTTCCAAAGCGATAGGAATGCGACGGTCGGCTCGTCGCACAGCGAGCGCCCAGACGTTTCGTTTCTAGGGCCATCGAAGCCCTCCACTCGGCAAAGCTGATTTCGACGGCAGCTGTGCGAGCAACCGGCGGTATGAGCATGGTTGAGGAGCTCTCTAGGGTCATTCAAACCTATCTTGCGCGAGAGCTAATCCAAACAACAGCAGTGTGGTTCGTCTGCGAGATGACGAGGTTCGCCCCTTGGGATTTGTCCTCGCTACCCACTGGGTCAAAACGAGGTTACCCAGAGGCACAGCGGAATGCGTTTCTACACTCTAGGGTTCCGTCCGCAGACGTTACACTCGTCCCCCCCTGGCGCCAACGTCCTCGTTGGCCCAGGGAGTCGGCCCCTGCAAGGACCTCGATTTTCGCTGGTGGTCCAAGTCAGCGACTTCGCTGGTGATGCACAGCGGTTACCAGAATCGTTCGCTGGGTTCGCGACTGGATACATCTGCAGCTGTATTTTCACACATTCGAGTTCTCACCACGACCTCAGCCGTGCGCGGAAAATGTGTCCAGTCGGGATTCGGACCCTAGGCTCTGGTACCAGTATAACGCCTCGCTCCTGACCCGTTCGTTTCCACCTCACCCCTCCAGCTCGGGCGGCAGCCAGTGCCCCGCAGCCCTGTTCTGCGGGCACGTTTGACAAGTCATTCGCGCTCAGGAAGCGTCTGTGATAAGTGCAAGTTTACTTATCAAGGCTCGGCAATAAGAGCTCACGGCTCGGAGCACGCCGAACCTAGGTTGATACGTTGTTCAGCGAAAACCTGCAGAACACCAATGCCCGAATGACGAGTTGTCAAACAGGGTGCTTCCGGTAAATTGCGCTCAGGGGCAGAGCAGCTGAACTACTTGTCAAATCTGCAACCGACCTCCGAACGCTTGATGCGCGATGAACAAGCCGTCCCGGGCAGCATTTAGACGCCCAGAAAAATAGTCGGTAACGGCTGCAAAAAAATCCCCCCAAAAAAGGCTACCCCACACACACGCGTTGTTGACGCGCTCCCCACTTTTCTTGCTGCGGCTGCAGGCCTAGTTGGGGCAGTGCCGAAATCTGTTTCCTCCCCGTTTCGAAGCCGCGATTTCGGATGCTTGTGGTTGCGCTTTCTGGGCCCCGCTGTTTCGTTGACTCGGCAATATTGGAAATAGCTCGGACTGTTTCCGATTTGACAAGACATCTTATCAAATCAATGCCTACAGAACAGGGCCCGCACCTGAAGCTAGTTGCCCGTCGCTCCTTCCCTCCCTTTCATGCAGGACCAGTTCCTGCTGGGGGGGAGCCGTGTGTGCTGCCGGCCTCTCTCCCTTCCGCCCTCGCTTCTACTGCTCTATACCTTGTCACGTTTCCAACGAACTACCACTTATCCTCATTATCCCGTGTTTCATAGCTCAACCGTACGGTGACTTCTCCTTCTTTCTCTTTCCGACGGCGTTGCCTGTGCAGCACTCAATGCACGGGCTCTGTTGTCACCCGTTCATGCGCGCACCCACTTAGCCGTACAACCTGATTGCACCAAAACGTGCAGGAACAGGCCTTCCCTCTGCCACAGACGCATACGTCCCAAAAATTGGGGGCCGGAAACCTATGCACCTGCTTCGCACGTTCGCGGAAGTGCTATGCACCTACTATGCTCGTGAAGGCTATGTCTAAACGTGTTCATCAGTGAAGCATAAACATAGTTCCGAAATGCAAAGCTCATACAAAGCACCTACTTAGTGCGAGGAATGTCGAGGTGCATTGCGTTTACATTGTCCATGCTGATCGTCGTGCTATGATGTTGCGCTAGACGTAGCATGCGCTATGCATGTGCTTTGTGTGCTTTCGTCATTGCTATGTTGATGCTATGCAGACACATAGTATTTCAAGCCTGAAGCATTCCCGCCACAATTCATGTTGTTTTATATCTAGTACACTAGGTGCAGTAATTCTGTATTTACATATTCATATAACATCTTGATTGCACAAATAAAAAATACAACAAAATTGAACTACAAATTCAGCACTTCCGTAGCTCGATTTCGGGAAGGTGACAGATCATGAGAACGGGATAAAAGCGGTGACATGGAAGCGGATCCCGTTCAACGGCTATTTCCACCATGCCTTCAAATTTGCTTCATCAAGGTCGTGACTGGGTTCTGTCCACTCTTTTCCAGAGCCCTGCATGCCAGCTGAGTACAGGGCAGAGAATGCAAGGCGACAAGACAGGTAGAAATTCTAACAGCATAATTCAACTTACGGATTTCTGTTAACGTAGAAACGAATGATTACTAGAGGTGGAAACCTAGAACAAATACTAGTTGGTTGTACTCACTAGAAGCATACCTCAGTCTAGCCTATAACTTCTACATAGATAATATGTATAAGTTGACACACCCCCTAGGCTAGACAAGGGGTGAAACTAAACAAGAAGCAAACAGCTCAGGGCGGCACTACTAGTCCAACCACTGAGGCAGGGGTCTGGAGACCAGTCAGCAAGAATACAACCAAAACTGAAGCAAGCCAGGGTGGCACTACTAGTCCAGCCACTGGAGGTAAGGCCACAAGGCCAGTCTGACAAGCATATATAATAGAGAGTACACAATCAGGATCCTAACAGGGGAGCAGCTATAGGAACAAGACCAAGCTGTACACAGTGCCGCTGATGATCTTTAGGCGCAAGCGCCTTAGTAAAGATATCAGCTGTGTTGGCACCTGAGGCCAAGTGAACTACGCGGGCCTGGCGGCGCTGCTGTAGCTCGCGCAGGAGGAAGTACCGCAGCTGGATATGCTTCGCTCTGCCCTCAAGCCGAGGCTCCTGACACAGGAGTATCATGGCCCTGTTGTCAGCGTACAGGACCGGGGCAGAGCTAGGCCGCTCACCTAAGTCTGTGAGCAAGAAGGTCAGCCAGCGGAGCTCCTGTGCCGCCATGGCACCAGCGTAGATCTCAGCCTCACAGCTAGACTGAGCCACAGACGACGAGCGAGTGGATCTCCAAGAGATAGCACCCGAACCAAGGCTGAAACAGTAGCCCTGCGACGACCTGAGCGTCTCAGCGTCATCTGCCCAAGAAGCGTCTGTGTGCCCAGTAAGGACCACTGGCCTGCGTCCTCCTAGCACTAACCCCATGCCTGATGTACTAGCAAGATAACGCAAAACCCTCTTAGCGGCAGACCAGTGCTGAGGTCGGTGTCTGCCTGTAGCCACAAAACGAGCCAGGATGCTGAGAGGGTATGCGAGATCTGGGCGAGTGCAAGTCATCAGGTACATGAGGCAACCCACCAGCTCTGCGTAGGGGCCACTGGGCTCTACTGGCTCCTCAGGAACGGGAGCAGAGAGCCCATGGTCTACGGGTAGAGGTGTGGGCTG